AACAGTTTATATCACACAGTCCTCTGTGTGATTAGAAGGGGAGAGTGGGGGGGGGGGGGCGATTGCTCAGCGACTGTGCTTGTCACCTGGAGAAGTTTTTAATCAGCAGCATATGCCCAGAGGTCCAGAGACAGGAGAACAACTTTACTGGACCCAAGTGTTCCTGCTGGTTTGATGTATCCACATGTCATCTCCTGTCTTAGATTGTGAGCTCCATGGGGAAGGGACCTTCCCTTTGTGCCAGGCGCTGTACACATGCATAACAACAGGACCCAGGTCCATGGCTGAGACCCCTAGACATGGCTGCAGTACACAAATATACTACTCAGCCTCTGCCCTTCCCAGCACCTTCTGCCCACAGATTTCAAAGTGCTTTATAAACATTAATGAGTGAACCCCTCCGGGTCTAAGTGTAAGTGCTGACATGCTGTGCAGGGTCGGGGATTGGCCCAGGTGTAAATGGCGCCCTGCAGCACATGGGGGGTGGGGAGGGGGCACTCGGACGCAGGTGAAATGGTGGCGCAGAGAGAGTTGAGCCCAGATGTAAATGGTGAGGGGCAGCTGGGGGAGTCAGGCCCAGTGTAAATGGTGAAATGTGGGGCAGGGAATCAGGCCCAAGAGTAAATGGCAACACATGAGGGGGTGGGGAATTAGATCCAGGTGTAAATGGCGACATGCAGCACTGAGTGGGGAAGGGGAGGAGTCTGACCCAGTGTCAATGGTGATGCAGGGGGCTGGGTGGGGGAGGGGAGGAGTTGGCCCGGTGAGGCAGGGGGTTGGGTGGGGGAGGGGAGGAGTTGGCCCGGTGAGGCAGGGGGCTGGGTGGGGGAGGGGAGGAGTTAGGCCCGGTGATGCAGTGACTGTCCCATTGACTCCCACTAGCACTTTTGAAAGCTGCTGGTCCTTTCCAGCCACCCCAATGATGAGAAGGGGGAGGAGCCGGGTCCGGTGATGCAGGGGGCTGGGTGGGGGAGGGAAGGGGAGAGGAGGAGTCGGGCCTGGGAGTCCAGTCCTCACCTGTGCATGTTTCTTTCTGACTGGGATAGAAAAATCTGCATCTCCACAGTTCCGAGGGGCATCGCGGCAAATATCTGAAACTGATGGAGAAGATTCCTGAAGATGCTGAGGCATCCGTGGTCCTCGTGGGTAAGAAGTGCCGGTCAGAACCCCGCTGGGGAGGCCCAGTTCAGAGCCCAGGCGGGGCCCAGCCAGACACATGCGCTTACCTGCCAGGAGTATTTGGATGTCAATCCCTGTTATCCAAACTTTAAGGCGGGAAGGAGCCACTTTCCAAGCCCTGGGAACCTCCCTCTAATAGCCCCTTCTTACCTCTTCCTGCTGTCATCTTACGGGGGACTTGGTGGCTTTTGGGGGTATCCTTCAGGCTCCAAAAGCCTCTCTGCTACAGTCAGCTTGCCAGGCCATGCCCTGAGTGGGGACAGCATGTCCCTGGACCTTCCCCAGGAAGATCTGCTCTAGCTTGGATGGTGGGGAGTGGAGTGGGGACTAAGAGTCAGGCAAATGTTTGGCCCTGCTTATTTCACCCAGCTTAGCTGCCTAAAGAAAATGGAGCCTTCTCCTTTTGCGGCAGGAATTCTA